AACCGAGTCTTGTACACGAGCTGACACTACATCCGTGATGCGTCCCCCAGCTGAGATTTGCTGCACAAATAACAAAACTTATCCACTTGCTCTATTACTTCCCCAGTTAGAGTGAGCCTGGGTGCTGAACCAATCCAGTCTTGTAGCAATATTTCACATTTTGAAGGTGCAAAACGCATACCGAACACGGCTACGCTGTTACTCAAGCTATCCCGAAAGGCTTGTAGCTTACCTAGATCTTCGCTTAGCAGCACAATGTCGATAATTTGTACCAGACTTGAATATGTCCATAGGGTACCGAGTGACTTTTTATGCAGGGACCAAAAAACGATGTTTATTGCCTAATTCACTGAACAAAATGCCTTCACTGTGCTATCGGGTGAAGGAAATAGGAATCATTTTCACTTTGTTTAATTGGCGGGTGCAGACTCACTTTACATCATGTCGTAGCAAGCTCCAATTTTGCTCTTGAGTAATCCAACAATTGATTTGCTCCGACAAATATTGTGGTTCGCCATTCAAATGGTCAGGACTTTCATTATCGAAAGAAAATAAACTGGCGCGGGGTAGTCCGTCCGCTGGACGTAACTTTGTCAGAACAAACCCGAACACAGGTAATGGAAAGGAGCCATTCAGGGATTCGGATAACTCTCCTCTGTTGCTTGTGAGTTGGTGGCAATTGATGAGCCACTGATTAGAGCTAAGATGAAATGAAAGCCAAAGAGAACGTGCGATGGATACTGGTCAATTTATAGGTCAACAGAGGAAATAAAAATAAATTGACAAAGCAGTGGGAAGTTTGTGTTGGCCTTTGAGCTGGTTGGATTCTAAGACGGAGCGCAAACCTCGGAATTAAAAGAGAACAATATATGTTTGCGTGTTGTACCCGGAGATTTTTGATTGCATTTGTCAACTTTGGTGTGGTGATTGTTCATACATGTATTAAAGTACGAAGTAAAAATGCAGGTATGAAAATGATGGAAAACATGAAAAAGGATGAAATTTAGCTAACCCAGGAGAGCTGAACCAAGTTGCAGTTTCTAGCATCTGCATGGTTTGTAGGAGTAACTGCACATTGCTAGTGGTTTAATTTACTTGAGAAACTTACCTGAAACAATGACTTATTCAGTATATGTATCTCCTGCAATTGTGCTATCAAAAGCTACGCCCCGTTCAGTCTCGTTCTGCTTGAACAACCATTAACCCTTCAATCCCATGCTCTGGTTTTAGCTGCCGCCTTTCGAATAAATATCTAGTCAAACAACGAGAGAAAAAATTCGGAGACAAAAAGCTAAGCTTGACAGGAATAATGCCTCCATAACTTAACGCGATCAGTGAAATTCATGTCACTGTAGTTCGCTGCACAACAGTGATAATAAAACACCTGATTTGCATGCAGTCTCGGCATGTCTTGCCAAACAGCACAGATGAGGAAGCCTATACATAACACATCATAGTCATTGGAATCTATGACGGTCTAGTACTAGTACTAGTATTAGTAAGCGACGGTGATTTTCCTCAGTTCAGTACACCCCCGCAGCTAAATGGGATGTGGAAGAACCTCACTCCTATTGGCTATGGTGCTGCTCAGAACTGGTGGGTGGTTTGCCAACTGGGGTACGTACTCCTCCACCACTATCAAAATAAATCCGCGGTTATCCCTTTATCATGCCCATCTAGTGCGGAGCGATCGAAGACTGCTTTTCCTCGCGCTTTAACGATTCGAAGTGAAATTTACAGCTTGAGAGCTATCAAGTGTCCGATTAGTTGACTTTGTGAGACTGGCCGTTAGCTGGCTTCTACCCATTGATTCTTTAATTATGACCGGTGGATTTTGTCCAAGTTATGCTTCGTAGGGACACAACATTAGATCACGTGGTGGATGGAAATGAACAATAGAACCTCGTGACTAGGGGCTCCATTTCTTCTACAATTCATCCCCAAACTCAACTGAGTACATAGACAGTCAATTGCTTACGTCGGTAGTCAAAGAGTTGAGCTAAAAATGCGACGAATTATCACTGCAGACAAATACGTGCACATGTGAGAGGGAAGTATGTTTTCAGTAGACTGCCGTTCATCACACACTGGTGTAATAAAAATTGAAAAACTGGGATAGTTTCTTCGACAGAAGACGTTGAGCATTGGAACAGATTTCAGCACTGAAGAATGTGTGAAACAACTATTTTTAAAGTATCTTTGAAACTGAATAATTTCCGGGTCAGCGCGAAAACCGCCGATTCAATTGAAGCAAAACAACATGGACAGAGCGCAATTAGTGGCGATCAGGATTTGTATGCTTATGGCATCATTGTCTTCTTACACTGTCTTATCGGTGTGTAGACCATGATTACTTCTTCAAGTTCAGGTGGCTTGGAGGATTTTGGGTTGAACGACAGATTGGGTGATTTACGGGGTAGTTTAGTCCAAGATGGAACTGCTCAGTCCATTCTAATAGCCTCCGACGTTGAGACAAGGTGAATTAACGTAAAGTATCGCGCAACATTGATTCATGCCAGCCACGCTTTCTGGAAGACTTGTCCATAAACCACAACTCGCCATCACGGTTTCCGAAACGGTGAACTACGATGACCTTTTGTTTTGAACACCAAACCTCAAGAACAAGAACGCGAATGATGAAAGCAGTCATTCGACATCTGCGCTGCCTTCCTTTTACGTTCATATTCGACTCGATTTCGGGAGTTGATCTTCCTTGAGTATGCGCATGAATAAAACCAATAGTGTGCACAGTAAGGGTGACTTACCCATGCACAAAATAATTGCAAATACTCTGAATAATGTGCTCTTGTGCCAGTGTGAGGATCACGTAACGCCCCATCAATTTAAGAGAACAATCAATATTTTTGAACATCTCAAGAGCGTTTAATTCGGAATTTTCGCCCGAGTGAATAGCATCCAGAGTGCCTTTGTCGAGGACGCAAGAGAATGGTTGCAGTTCTCCCGACTTAATACGATCCTCGAGGGTGAAAACGTCCATACATTCGTACGTGAGACCCGGCCTAGTATTGTGTGTACAGTGCTTCTCTCGCATTTGATGGATAGTCGTATCGCTAGAAACATAAACGTCAAATGATGTCCGGATATCTTGGTTACCTTATGTCTATGTTGGTGATATTTGTAACACCTAATTTGTCGAAGAGCATTAAACCGAGGTCCGAATTACCGCAGCCGACAATGAGAACGCGGTCAGATTTTTTTACATATTTGGAAAAAAATTCGCTGTGTTGCAGGAAATCACCGTACCTAGGAGACAGGACGGTCATTGGAATGGGTGAGAACTTACCATTCGAAAGCGCTTTGACGAGTTTGAAAAAATTTCTCCCAATATTCTCGTTTTGAAAAATCACCAATGGCTCTGGGCAGAAGGCTTTTCATAATATGTGATTGGATTTCGTCTACAAATCACAGTATGCGATGAGGAAGAATAAAGTAACTACTGAGGATCACATAAATCAACATTTGCGAACATGGCAAAAAAATGGACAAACAAAACCAAATGAAACCGAATCAAACCAACACTATGGTGGTATTGTGAAAGCCATTTACTTCCTTGAAAACATTCCATTTTGATGAACATTTAACGAATTAGGCAGAAAGAAAGACTAGGAAAACTAGTCTCCCATTACGCTTAGGATATAAAACTGACGCCTCAGGATTAAATGGTGCGCTAAACGGAGAGTCTACCTCTACCTCTACTAGTCGGCCTCCGAATTTCCTAAAAATGAGACAAATTGGGAATCCTTGATGCATGAACGCGACATCTAAAAGTGTCAGAAAACAATTTGTGGAAAATTCGAAGTCTGTGCGGGGTATCTATAAATATTTTTGTTCGTATGGACGAACTATTTTGAAGTATATAAGTGCTAGCAAATCTGCCGACCCTACCAGGTTGCACTTCCCCAACAGCACCGGGCTCGGGAACACTGAAGATAATGTTCTTTTGTGAGCAGAGATAGTGTAACGCCCTTGGCAACTTGCCATTCCGTTTAGTGTTAGTCGTATCTATGTTTCACTGGACCCCCTGCCAACACCAATAAGCGATATTTACCTACAAAATGACTACCGAAGTAACTTTTTGATTTTTCAGGCTTAAATCTTATTTATTGTTTACAAATACTATTTGGAATATATAATTGTGTTATGTTATCAATTAATGGTGTCGAGAAGCCTCCCGGCAAAAGCAGAGAAGCAGTAAAGTTCGATAAATTTCACGGTTAGATAGCGACATCCTACGTAATAGAACACAGAGCCAAGTAGTTTTTGGAGCGTTTTAGTAGTCAATTTGTGGCGGTTCGGCTAAAAAGACACGGAAATCTGTAAAGTTACAACGATCTGGACCACTATTTTGTAGCATATTGGTAGCGGTGTGCCGTCGAATAGTAGCCTATTTGCTAGCAGTGCTGTTTGTTTCATGTTATTGACATTTTCCTCTTTTGCATATTGTTAGTCAACCCTCTACAAAGAGAACCTCCTGTCTGTCGACGGTGTACGCTCACTAGCAATGACAGAATGAATCTTCACCTTCACCTTCTGGAATGAAAGGCAGTAGGGAATCCTCCCGTATGAGTCTTCTCTCCTCCGGATCCGGACAAGCAACCCATCATCTTGCCGCCTTAGCAACGGGAAAGCATCCAGCCGCCGTTTGAATTTGTCATCATTCCACCACATCCGCCGGGAGAGCATTCCAAATATTAGTCACTCCTGGAGAGACGGTACACTGACAGAAGTCCGGATGACTCCTATTTCCGAAGCGTGAAATGGTGACCGCGAATGCGTGCATTGTTGTGCAGTGGAAAATTGTCTTGCAGCTCCTCCCCCAGATCACCACAGATAAGCTTACTACTCAGCAGGATGTCACCACGAATGCGTCTGTAACTCTCCATGTACATGTCCATGATGACGAGTCGCTGGTCATAACTATGTGCTCGTAGACCCGCAACTAGACGGGTAGCTGCNGTGCATCGTTGCGCAGTGGAAATGTTTCTTGTAGCTCCTCCCCCTGGTCACCACGGACAATCTTCCTGCACAGCAGGATGTCACCATGAATGCGTCTGTAACTCTCCACGTCAGGTCCATGATGACGAGTCGCTGGTCATAACTATGTGCTCGTAGACCCGCAACTAGACGGGTAGCTGCTCTCTGTACACGTTCAATTTTTGCCATCCCTCGTGGGATGGGAAAAGCCGCCGCCCCGCCATACTTCAGACGAGGATGGATCGCCGGGGCGTACAGGATTTTGAAGGCCTTTCCCGACAGCGGTTCGAACGACCGGCAAATTGTTCTCAGGATGCTCCAGGCAGAACAAACTTTGTCCACGTGGCCTCTGGTCTTGAGGGGTGATGCGATGATCATCCCCAAGTCCATCTCATGGTCGCTGCTCCTGAGGACATCGTTTAATGCGTACACCGATCCGAAGTTACCGCGACCTATTCTCATTTACACACACCTACCGATCTTGATGGGAGCACCCAATCGGATAGTCGATCCAAATCAGCTTGTAAAACTGTCGCGTTTAGGGACGACTGAAGTGGTCTCCATAATTTCAGATCACCCGCGTAGACAAGGCATGGTGACTGTAGCCGGCTGGGGAGATCGTTGATGTACAACAGCAACAGTACGGGGCCCAGAACTGAACCTTGTGGAACTCCACTGAGAACTGGATGCCAAGAGGATATTGAATCACGAATCCTCACCGCAAACGTCGTCTCTTTAGAAATTCCTCTACCCAAGTGAGTATTGGGTTCGTCACTCCAAAGCTTCTCAACTTCAAAAGCAGCCTATCGTATGGAACCTTGTCGAAGGCTTTACTAAAGTCCACATACACAGTATCCGTGACTGACCCACTGGTTTTGGCGACACACCATTCACCTATTAGGTTCCGCTTGTGATTGTCGAATTGATCATATATATATATATATATATATATATATATATATATACATATATATAGTTGAAACATGGGATTTAAATAAGAAACATCTAATCCGAACCACTTAGTTCGGATTCTAGGAATAAATTAACGATAATGTCATTTATAAATACACACTTAACAGTGCTCTATCCCAATTCATTTTGATCAGGAAAGTATTTAAAACCAAAATTTATATTCTCCTTAAGATAAGGTTCGCTCATTACCATAAATAAACTGAAGTGGGTTTTCAAATGATCTACAGACAGACTAGCCGGATGACACCTCTGTCACTCTCACAGATGCTTGGTTCGTGTGTGCGGCACGACGTCCCCCGTGAACGGATACAACAGACGACCGCAAGTGGGCCGAGTCTAGATGTGGGTTGGAACCGTCGACAGACAGGAGGTTCTCCGTGGAGGGGGCGAACTGACAATCTCAAGGAGAGGAAAATGCATATACCATGAACCAAAAGGTTCACTGAGACATGCACACAACTCGATTAAATCAAAATGGCCACAACGGTGTCTTCACTACCGAACGCCAAATTACCAAGGTCGTTACACTCTCGGAACCAGCTGGTGTAGCGCATATCTTGAAGTCTTGAAGTCCAATGTCCAATGTCCAATGTCCAGTTTACAGGCGGAGAAAGCTCGTTGGCTT